AAATAATTTCAAAATGCAAATTTTTATCTTAACTTTATGTGAATGTGAAGCATTTATATGGAAGAAAATTCAAGGTCTTCATCTGCCAAGTCACTAATCGAACGAAAAAAATGAATCATTGCAAATATTACAAGTATTGAAAGCCACTTTCCAGTTTCGCATAAACAATTGTCTCACACTCCAAGTCCATTTCCTACAATGATTCTAATTATAAAAAAATATTTTTTATTTCTGACGTAAGTTGCTGACGTTAGATCTAATCAAAATATATGAAAAACTTTATTGAATAATGAGCCTTTATATTGTTAGATAAATTCCTTATCACGCAATTCAGTCCAATATCTAGAGAGAAAACTTCAGTATATTGCAGCTCAAAAACTCCGTAAATGAAAGAACACCCTTCCCAAGGGTTCACGCGTCACTGGTTGCCTCCCTAGGGGGCAACGAACAATAACGTCCCAGCTTATTAAAATTCTGTGAATCGCGCGAAATCATCATTCTCTGAAGAAGAACGCAGAAGGTGGTCGAAAATTTCGAGACAGTTTTACTTTTTTAGATCTGTTTGAAATGTTTTTTATAGAACTATGAGCACAGATCGCTCCAACAGTTTTATTGCAGCTCAGTTTGCTTGTACTATATATAATGTTGCTATAATTTACAACATTTCCTCTGATACCAAATAATTCGACACTATGACATAAAGTTCCTTCTGCCTTCGTCTGAATTTAATAGAGACAACAAAACAATAGAAGACGTACTAACTGCGCGGTCACGAATGCGGGTTTTTGGAGCTCCTCGATATATTGTGCGATCGCTGACTGACTAAAAATTTGAATTTTCTTTCAATGAATGCTTTGAACGTGTCAGTATTACAAATAAACAAATGTGCTCGTGCTCGCGATTAAAACTCTGCTTTATGCTCTGCACATTAGGACAATTTTCAGCTACATTAAACTTGGATTGTTTTCCACTCAGTTAAACGAGAAATTATTCGCCTTTGAGGAACAAGAGTTCGGTTTCGATACTCACCAAATGCAACAACGGATACAGAAGATTCATCCTGTCCTTTGCGCATACTGTTAGAATAAGATATTTTCAGAATGTACATGTAATCATCAGTTCTTTCGACTCTCTTTAACATCAACGTCGCAGGAAGTCTCACTCCGTAGTCAGTTCTGAATCTATTACTAGCGAAGATGAACGAGTCGTTAGCGCTGGGTCTCGTTGCTATTGT